ATGGTTTTGGGATGCGTAAGATAAACTGCTTATCCTCGTCCTTATGCAAAATAGCATCTGTTAGAGCCAATGCAGCAAAGCCTCTGTTTGTTTGGAATTGTCTCTTTATAAAAAAGAAATTTATTTTTGTACTTGACAGTTGATTGTATTTAGCAGAATGTGAGAGCACAATGTTGGGAAAGACTTTGAGTACTGCCACCTTTTAGCAATAATATCTTGTGAAGAAGACACAAGTGGGGAGGTCACTTTTGAAAATGTTGGCTGGATCGCTGGTCTAAACTCCAATAATTCTGAATACAACCGAGCATAGTTATTATGTCCCTCAACTGTAATCTATAGAGTTGACTGATGATCTGACGACACTAGTTCAAATTCCAGCAACACAACTTGGAGAATATAAATTCTTGAATAAAAAGCTAGTACAAGATCATCAATGATGATCATTAAACTATCAGATTGATATAAAATCCAGTTGCAGTTTTATGGCCCAGCTGCTTGAGTTCTTTTGGATTTTAGGAATTGAATCTTCAGCTAGAAGTGCTAAATGGATGATCCATCTCAACCACCTCCTGTGATCATTGGCATCATAAATTCCAATCTTCCACTAATTTGACTCACTCCATGTGACATCATGAAACACTGGATATTTAAAAGGCTGTTGGACTGAAGACAGCCATACCCTTAATCAAACAGTTCCAGAGAGCTACAACAAAAGAAATTTCTGGAGAAACTCAGTGGAGCTAGCAGCATTTGTGGAGAGAAAACTTGAGTTAATGTGCCAAGTCTGTTGACCCTTCTTCAGAACTGATAGTATCTGGTGGTTGTTGGAAGTCATTTATCTCCGCCTCAGGACATCTCTGCACGAGTGCGTCAGGGTAGTGTCTTAGGTCCAACCATCTTCAGCTGCTTCATTAATGCCATTCTCTCTGTCATAAGTTCAGAAGTGGAAATGTTCACCGATGATTACATAAAATTTGGCACCATTCGTGACTCCCGAGATATAGAAGTGGTCAATGGTCAAATGCAACAAGACCTGGACAACATCCAGGCTTGGGCTGAAAAATGGCAAGCAACAGTTGTGTCATACAAATGCCAGGTAATGACCATCTCCAAAAAGAGACAGTCTAACCACCACCACCATTTGACATTCAGTGGCATTGCCATCACCAAATCCTCCACTATCAACATCCTGGGGATTACCATTGAGCAGAAACTTAACTGGACTCACCGTATAAATATTAGCTGCAACAGCAGGTCAGAGACTAGGAGTATTATGGTGAGTAACTCACCACCTGACTCCTCAGAGCATGTTCACTATCTGCAAGGCCCAAGTCAAGAGTGTGATGGAATACTCTCCACTTGCCTGGATGGATGCAGCTCCAACAGCACTCAAGAAGTTTGACACCACCCATGACAAAGCAGACCACTCGATTGGCACCACATCCATAAATGTCCACTCCCTCCACCACTGACACTCAGTAGTAGCAGTGTGTACAATCTATAAGATGCATTCAGAAATTTGCCAAACATTCTTAGACAGTAGCTTCCAAATTCTTGCATGGGAGTTACATGGGAACACCACCCCCTGCAAGTTTCCCTCCAAGCCACCCACCATCCTGATTTAGCAATATATGACTGTTCCTTTAGTGTTGCTGGGATGAAATCCTGGAATTTCCTCCACAAGGGCATTATGCATCCATGTGCAGCACATGGACTGCAACTGCTCATGAAGGCAGCTCACCACCACCTTCTCAAGGGTAACTTGGGACAGCAATAAATGTTGGCCCTGCTAGTGACGTCCATGTGTCACAGTAAATAAAAACAGCAAGTTCACAGATAATACAGAAATTGGTGGGTAATCTGGATAAGCACTTGGACAATACGAACAAGGCAAAGGAATATATCATGAACAGTGGGTCCCTAGGAAGCACCGAGGATCAGAGGGACCTTGGTGTGCACATGCAGTTGTTCCTTAAGGTAGTGGCACAGGTAGATAAAGTGGTTGAGAAAGCATATGGAATACTTGACTTTATTAGCCATGGCATTGTGTTTAACAGCAGGGAGGTTATGCTGGAACTGTATAAAACATTAGCTAGGCCACAGCTAAAATATTATGTGTAGTTCTGGAATCTACATTCTAGCAGAGATTGGATTACACAGGAGAGGGTGCAGAGGAGATTTACCAGGATGTTGCCTGGGTTGGAGAGTTTTAGTCATGAAGAGAGATTGGAGAGACTGGGGTTATTTTTCATGGAGTCTGAGAAAGGACACGATTGAGATGTATAAACTTTTCAGTAGCATAGATAGGGTCAATAGGAAAGAACTTTCCTCTTGGTGGAGGAATCAGTGACCAAGGGGCATAGATTTAAGGTAAGAGCAGGATGTTTAGAATGAATGAGGAAAAACAATATACCACACTCATTGAGTCTTTCTCTTCTTCAGGAAACTAGTTAAACATGCTTTCCTCCTCTTGAAATCAAAACTGACACTTCCTAACCAACCCTCCTTTTCCCATGTGATGACTGATTCTATCCTGAATAATCATTTCTAGAAGCTTTTCTACCACTGAAGTAAAACTGACCAGCCTGTAATTGCTGGGCTTACCCTCACAACTTTTCTTGAACAAGGCTGTAATGTTTGCAACTTTCCAGTCTTCTGAGTCAAGGAAAGACTGAAAGATTGCTGTTCTCCTGCAATTTCCACTCTCACTTCAGTCAGAATCCTTCAAATATATCTCATCCAGTCCTGATGCCTTGTCAACTTAAAATATTCAACATTTCTTCCTTTTCAGTTTTGAACTATTCTAGAGACAAGAGTTTTCTCCTGTTTTGCCATGGCCGAGGTAGAGTAAAAACAGTAGGTGAAAACAGTTGCAAGGTATTTATATAACACCTAGTCGTGCCTGCTGCCTTCATGTGCAAAAGCCCTTTCTGATGCCTAATCAGTCCTACACTTTTTACCACTGTTTTACACATATGCCTATAGAAGAATATTTTCGATTTTTCCTCTTTGCTTCTCTTATTTGCTGTTTCACCTCCCTTCTGCACTTTCGGTTTTCCTCTTGGTTCTCCCCTATCTTTTCTTCCTGACACTTGTCACAACTACACTTTTTCTTTATCTTACTCTCTATTTTCTTTGTCGTACAGGGAGGTCTGGATTTGTTTGTCTTACCTTACCTATTTGGGCTAATGTACCTCCGCTGTTCTGAACCATCTCCTGTTTGAATGCAGCCCATTCAGTTACAGATTTTCCTGCCAATTTATGGTTCCAGTCAATCTTGTTCAGCTCCATTGAAGTCAGCTTTCCGCCAGGTGAATTCCTAACTTTAGGAATCAGTTTGCCATTCTCCACTATCATCCTGAGCCCTCTGATTCAATTATCATTGTTTCCTAAATGTTCCCCACTAACATTTAATCCACATAGCCTACCTCATTTCGAAGAATCAGCTTTAACAATGCATCCTTTCTTGTAGGACTTGAGGCATGCTGCTGTAGGTGTGTTAATTTCAGACCCTACTAGATGCCTTTTCTAAACACCATTTTGATTACCATTGTACAGTCAGAAATATATACATCTGCTTTGTTGCTATCTGGAAAGAAAGGCTCACACTTTAATTCAGCCTTTCATTAGATGAAGGATATTAGCTCCATAAAAGTTTCTCTTTCTCTTTACTTGGCCCACTGACACATTGTGCATCTTTATTTCTTTCCTATCCTCAGTACTGTAGGTTGCACGAGTTCTTGTGTTCAGATGTATATTTAGTTTCAGTACCTTGAATTAAGTAGGGGATTAAGTAGGGGATCCCTGCTAGAAGTGAAATATATATCCACATTGAGGAGGGACAGGAATATGCTTAGCTGTGCTGCTGTACGTTTAACTAACATGCTAACATTCATTTGAGAGAGATCATATTTATATGATACTGAGAGCAATCATTAAACTTAGGAATGAAATACAGCGAAATATGGGGAGTTAGTGGATGTCTTGCTTGTGGAATTCTGGAGGGAGTTCTATTTGTATTGGCTTTAAAGGTGATACAAAAAGCGAGTGTGTACCATCTTGCATTAGTCATTTTATTCTCCATGGGATGTGGGCATTGCTGTCAAGACCAGAATTTGTTGCCCTTGAACAGAGTGGTTTGCTCAACCATTTCAGAGGGCACTTAAGAATCAAATACAGTGCTGTGGATCTGGAGTTAGGTGTCAGCTTGACAAGTAACGATGGCAAATCTCCTTCTATAAAGATCATTAATGAACCAGATGGGCTTTTAAAACAAATGAGAGAGTTTCATTGTCAACATCACAGAGACTAGCTTTATTTCCTACATCTATACATTGAATTTAATTTCCAGCAGCTGTCATGGTGGGATTTGAACCCATGTTCCCAGAAAATCATTCCCTGGATACAATGACATTCCCATGACATGACTGTCTCCCTGGCTTGTTTTACTGGAGTAATATGAAGGAGTAGTCAGCAATAGATAGCCACCCAAAGATACAGTGAATGAATATGATGATTAGTTGAAATACATCATGATTATGTACCTGTGTTGTACATTGAACATAGTTTGTTAACTCTTATACAAGAAATAAAAGCTGGAGTAGGCCATTTGGCACATTAAACGTCCTCCTCCATTCAATAAGATCATAGCTGATCTATTTTCCCACGTTATCCCACCATGCTTGGAAGCATGCCACCTTCTTAAAATTGAGAGTCTAAAGATGTCAACCTCAGTGATCCTGGATTTAATTACAGTGATGCCTAATACTCTGAATGGCAGATACCATTATGTCTTTTTTTAGCCACAGTTACAGAGCAGGGCAGGGGTCATGGAACCTTTTTGGAAAGCATGTCTGCCCACATGAGCAGTAATTCTCTCCAGGAAATGACTTGCATTTAAGTAAATTCAAGGTGTAAAGAAACTTATTTGCTGTGTTCCATTTGCAAACTGTCACCTCCCTTCTACCTTTTAGATGACCATTTCTCTGTTTATTTTGCAGTTGGTCAACCTCAGCCTGTGATCAGGATGGTGGGACAGAAGCGACTGTGGAATCTCCTTGTTGTCTTTTGTACTTGTAGTTTGTTTCTGCCTCTGGCCAGTGCAGATATCCACAGAGCCAATGCCAAGAAGCTGGCACGGAAGGCAGCAGCTGCGCAAGCTGCCATTGGCAGCAATAGATGGTGCCCTGAAAACGCGTTTGAGTTCCGCTCATGGTCAGAACTATTCACTGGAGAGCGTGTTGATGCCTGGATTTGCTCTTTGATTGGCTCAGTAATGGTTGGACTCAGCGGTATCTTTCCTCTCCTTGTCATCCCGGTCGAAGCTGGGGCCACATTAAAATCAAAAGGTAACTTCATGGATTTCTCTCCACCGATGCTGCCAGACCTCCTGAGCTTTTCTAACAATTTCTGTTTTTGTTAAATTCATATACAGTTTGGTGATGAAGAATGAAATATAGCTGACTTCTGACTGTTCTGTCCAGCCTGCAAAAATGTAATTGTGATAAAAGCAAAATGATGCTGATCCTGCCAATCTGAAATAAAGACAGAAAGTGCTCAAAATATTGTTCTCGCTGTGACAGAAGTAGTATGTTGATAATCAAGCCCCACTGCTCCATGAGTTGCAGTATTAGTATAAAGATTTCATTTCAATCAACGAAAACAATTCCCTTTGCAACTGCTAACCAGAATTAGAGACACTTTCATGAGGGCTGCTTTAATGAACTCAAAATACTCAATTTATTTGAAAACAAAACTCATCCCTGAAGAACAAGTAGCAAAATTGGTCAACATCTAAGAAATAATCAGAATTAGAAGTATATCCCTTTTTAATCCTGAAACAGACACAATCACACAAACAAAGTCAACAGTAGCTCTGCAGAGATGAGCAAAAGAAGCACCCTTATTTGCCAATGACCTGAGAAACACAGAATACAACTTGATGAATTTTCAAGTCCAGTATTTTCTCAGACTGTTCAGACACACCTGTTATGATACACCTCTGTGCAGTTGGGACTTGAACCCAGGCTTTCTGGCTTAGAGATAGGGACAGTACCATGGCACCACAAGCCTTCTATCTACCAGATTTTTATTTTTTTTTATATGTCCAGAGATTTTGCACATCATAGGTTTCTTTTTCACCACCAAATCCTCTGTGATTTTTTTTTTTTCTTTTTTTCCTTTTTCCTCCACCACTAAATCACCTGTGTCGCTGAATCAATTACCAATTTACATGCAAAACCCGTCAGGGGCAATGCAGTGACACCAAAAGTGAGGGCAGGTAGGGAGAGAAGCAGGAGACTAAATCAAAATAGAATTGGTGGGGAAATAAGGCATTCTACTTCACTTTTTTTTTTCTATACAACCTGTTCAGGGATGTAATGACATACCTTTAGACCAGGTGAGACTTGAAACAGCAATAATGAAATTGTCAGATTGGTTCTTTGTGTAACCCTGACTTAGACTTTCTGTCCTGTTTATCATGATCACGTGCATATGGCTCCTTGTAAATGTGGCCTCTCTATTCATCTGTCTATTCTTCTTCTGGTTTGTGCTTGTTGTTCTTTATTGAAGTAACCTCTTAGTCTCTCTTCTAACTATGGTTACATGGCACTTTCATATATTAACTAAATTCCTGTTGGTACAGCTGCCAGGTCCAGGATTGCTAGGTCACTTTGACCAATATTTGCTCAAGAAATTACATTGGATTTCTTTACAATTGTTGTCAACAATTTTTAGGTCATTTTTAAGCATTCTCAATGCCAATTAAATATTCACAAACATTTTAAAGAAAGGACAGTTTTCCTTACTTAACCACTTTTGGGTAAAAGGTCATTACAAATTGGAACAGACTATATAAACTCTTATAATCTATTCCCTTTGCCTGATAAGATCACCCCAAGACTATGCTTCTCTAAGGTATTAAGTGTGAGTGATTTTAGCCTCCTTGATAACTAAGATGGTTTAAACTAGTAATAGTTCTGTGACCATCCTCTGCACCCTTCCAAAGCCTTAATATCAGTCACCATGAGAAGGGCAAAACTTAACACATTATTTCAACAAGGCCTAGACAAACATAAAATGATTTGTTTAGTCTTTTATTTAATGATTTTGATTATCAGTTAGTGTCTTATAAATGGAATCCTATTTGCTCTAGCAGTTATATGATGGCATTGTTCTGGGACCTTTAGGGATGCTCAGAGCATTTTCACTATTGACTGGAGGATATTTGTATATTGAACATCAATCCTGTATAATACACTTTTCCAGATTGCCATCATTTGTTGGTTGTGAGGTCACTTCCTTAATACATCTGTCTGAAGCAGTTGAGTATCACCTGTAGTCTTAACACCTGCACATATCTTCATATCATTAACAATCTTACAGAACCTCACCCCACCCCGTCAGGTACATCTATATCAATAGCAAGACTAAAGAATGATGGTCCCAACCGTGAATGATGCTGCTACTGACCAGTCTCCAGACAGATATGAATCTATCCGTAATTGCAGTCTGCCCCTTTGCTTCCAGGCAGTTCTTAATCCAGGTCACTATATTGCCAGTAATAGCAGAGACTCTGTTTTTATTGAGCAGCCTCATGCCCTTTACTTTGTCAAAAGCTTTTTGGAAGTTGACAACAGGCAAAATCTACTGGACAAACTCTATTTTGCTAAACAGCTTGTATTTGTGAGATATCCCTAGAAGTTAAAATGATACTAGAGAGTGTTCTGAAAAGATGGATGTAATTGGAAATTCTGGCTCTGAAGTCATTAGACCTCTGAGAAATTACCCTGACTAGCAGTTGCTTGGGAGGTGGGATTCGAATAAGCGGAAAATCATGAACTAGGATATGTTCTTAGTTACAATGGAAGTGAGGTTTACCTTAAAAAAAAAAAAATTAGTATTGGTGAAACTTGGTTGGAGAGAATGAAGCCTGTTTTTATATAGGAACCTTGACATCACTACCAGCAGTAACTGAGCCTCCCCGGTACCACAGTTGAAAGCGGTGCCCCCACAGGGAAATCCATCGTCAACGTATCTGACCATGCCCTTCAACCAGACAAAATTGAAGTTCTCAGCCAAGGGCTCATTTCTGCCCCACTACCAAAATGGACCCCATTGGTCTCTCAGCAAACACAGGAATTCATCAGGCAAAATGTGCTCTGGAATTTTTCCACAAACCCTAAGATGCCAGCAGCGAGCCCAACAAGACAACCAATGAACCAGGACAGACAGCAGAGAGGTCCATGGTACAGCGACCAAAGAAGAAGGTCGCTTCCAGAAGGCTGCTGCGCTAGGCTCGACATTTATGCTCAAGCCCTTAGGAGATACGTTAATGCCAGATTCATCAACCACACTCACAAGGTAGTGCAGAACTTTACCCTCGCACAATGCAACATCATCCATGCTCTCAAGACCAACATTGTCATCAAACCAGCAGACAAAGGAGGAGCCATTGTTATACAAAATGGATGGACTACTGCAAAGAAGTATACCAACAACTGAACAACCAGGAACACTACAGACAACTACCTGCTAATCCAACCAAAGAACGCACCCGTCAACTAAACAGATTGATCAAGACTTCTGATCCAGTCCATTAGAGTATCCTATGCACTCTCATCCTGCATACTTCTCACATAGGAGACTTCTACTGCCTTCCAAAGATACACAAAGCTAACACATCCCATCGTATCAGGCAGTGGGGAACTGTGTGAGAACCTCTCTGACTTTATCGAGGGCATCTTGAAACCCATTGTACAAGGAACCCCCAGCTTCTGTTGTGACACTACAGATTTCTTACAGAAACTCAGCACCCATAGGCCAGTTGAACTAAGAACATTCCTCATCACAGTGGACATTTCGGCAGTCTACACCAGCATCCCCCGTGACGATACCATCACTGCAACAGCCTGAGTACTCAATACCAATAACTGCCAATTTCCAGACACCATCCCACAACTCATGTGCTTCAATCTCAAGCATAAGTCTTCACCTTCGACAACCAGTTCTTCATCCAGACGCATGGAACAGCCATGGGAACCAAATTTTCATCCAATAGGCCAACATTTTCTTGCACAAGTTTGAGCAAGACTTCTTTGCTGCGCAGCACCTCCAACCAATGCTATACACCAGATACATCAATGACATTTTCTTCCTTTGGACTCACAATGAGGAATCACTGAAACAACTACATAGCGATATCAACAAGTTTCATCCCACCATCAGACTTACTGTGGACTGCTCTTCAGGATCAGTCTCGTTCTTGGACACATGCAGCTCCATCAAGGAGGACACTTCAGTGCCTCACTCTACTACAAGCCCACAGATAACCTCATAATGCTCCACTTCTCTCGCTTCCACTCTAAACATATTAAAGAAGCCATCCCCTACAGACAAGCCCTGTGTATACACAGGACCTGCTCAGATGAGGAGGAAAGCGATAGACATCTGAAGGTTTTGAAAGATACCCTCCTAAGAACGGGATACGATGCTCAACTCATCAATCGTCAGTTCCGACATGCCACAGCAAAAAACCGCAACAACATCCTCAGAAGACGTGCACAGGATGCAACCGAGAGAGTATGCTTTGTTGCCCAGTACTTCCCAGAGCGGAGAAACTACGGCAGGTTCTTTGCAGCTTTCAACATGTCATCGATAACAATGAGCATCTCACCGAGATCTTCCCTACACTTCGACTTCTCACCTTCAAACAACTGCCAAATCTTAAACAAACTGCCCAGCCTTCAGGACAATATCGACCACAATACCTATCAGCCCTGCAATGGCAACCTCTGCAAGACATGTCAGATCATCAACATGGATATTACCATCACACGTGGGAACACCACCCACCACGTACAACAAGGTAGTCATGTGACTTGGCCAATGTTGTCTACCTCATATGCTGCAGGGGAAGATGCCCTGATGCATGGTATATTGGCTAGACATGCAGACACTACGACAACAGATGAAATGGCCACCACGCAACAATCACTAGACAGGAATGTTCCCTCACAGTCGGGGAACACTTCAGCAGTCAAGGATATTCAACCTCTGATCTTCAGGTAAGCGGCTTCCAAGGCAGACTCTGATATACGCAACAGCGCAGAATCACTGAGCAGAGACTGATAGCCAAGTTCTGTACCTGTGAAGACAGCGTCAACCGTGATTTTGGGTTCATGTTGCGCTACAGGTGACCACGTGGTACTGTTCTGTGTCTGTAAAATCTTCCTTGCAGTCCTGTCCTGACAGCAGCACCTTGATAAATTATTGTGATCTCTTTACCTGAATTAGTTGGTACAGTTTTGAACTATTTAATACACTCTCTTACATGCTTGCCTGCACACACGTACAAGCACACTCTCTCACAAACACAGTCATAGACTCTCTCTCACATGCTTGTACACATATACTCTCTCAAATACACGTGCGCATACGCGTGCAAATCTCTGGGGTGAATCATTCATCAGGGATGTTTGTTTATTTGCAGATACATTCTATTTTGTTCAAAAAACACACAATTTATAGGCATAGTCAGTCAGTGTGACATCTTGTAAATTCCTGCTTTTGGAATAAAACCAGCCTGACTTCAGGTTAAAACTCTGGGACAGATTCTGAACAAGGCCTCACACCTACAATTCAATGTCTGACCTCTGATGTCACCTTTTGTATATTCCTATCGGTCTGCCTCAGTGTCATGAGAGCATAGCGCTGACATTGACTTTATAAACACTTTACTCGCTGTCTAACACTGTGACGTATTATCTGACACTCCATTCACACCAGTTGTATGATCTTCTGATCTCTCTGCCTATAAACTCTGTGTCGGTGTGCTGTCCTGTCACACTGCGCCTGACGAAGGGTCTGTGCTGCAAAAGGTTGTGTGATTTCATATAAACCTGTTGGACTACAACCTAGTATCATGTGACTTCCAGCTGTATGAATAAAAACCTTTTATTATAGAGTTATGTAGTGTTATAATGCCTTGCATGCTAAGTGAGAAGTGTCTTTCTTGTATCAATCATTTGAAGTGCAGTTCGTTGTTTCTGTTGAACTACAGTTTGGTTGGTAATGTTGACTTTGGGTTTGGCTGTTTCAGTAAATGCTTGAAAAAGTGAAATCTTGTCCATCAGTTCTTTTGGCATTGTTTGAAAATTCCATTCTTTTTAGTTTATTGATCTCTATGGGATCGTAACACATCATCTTGGTAACTTCTCCAAAAGTTGTTGTCCCATTTGTAAGGTGTGCTTGTTTGAAGCATGTTGGATATGCTCAATGTCCCTTAATCTGAGTAATCATGTATTCCACTCCTAAGGATTCCCTCGCGCTTCTTTTTTGCTTTTCCTGATACTAAAGTATTAGCCCTATAATTAGCCATTAAATATAGTAACTACTTTAGTCTCTTGTCAGTCTAAAGTCTGACACAGTGATCTTTTTAGAAGAGCCCTGTGCGGACGATACGAAGGTGGGTCACATTGTGGACAGTGTGGAGGGCTGTTCTAGGTTACAAAGGGATATTTGATAGAATGCAGAGCTGGGCTGAGAAGTGGCAGATGGAGTTTAACCCTGAAAAGTGTGAGTTGATTCATTTTGGAAGCAGAATACAGGGTTAACGGAAAGATTCTTGGCAATGTGGAGGAGCAGAGGGATCTTGGGGTTCATGTTCACAGTTCCCTGAGAGCTGCCACCCAGGTAGATAGAGTTGTTAAGAAGGTGTATGGTGTGTTAGCTTTCATTAATAGAGGGATTGAGTTCAAGAGCCGTGAAGTTATGCTCCAGCTATACAAAAGCCTGGTTCGGCCACATCTGGAGTATTGTGTCCAGTTCTGGTCACCTCATTACAGGAAAGATGTGGAAGCGTTAGAAAAGGTGCAGAGGAGATTTACCAGGATGTTGCCTGGAATGGAGGGAAGGTCTTACAAGGAAAGGTTGAGAGAGCGAGGGCTTTTCTCTTTAGAACGACAAAGGATGAGAGGTGACTTGATAGAGGTGTACAAAATGATCAGAGGTATAGATAGAGTAGACAGCCAGAGACTTTTTCCTAGGGTGGAGGTAGCTTTTATGAGGGGACATAGTTTTAAAGTGAAAGGAGGTAGATATCGGGGAGACGTCAGAGGTAGGCTCTTTACTCAGAGTGGTAGGGGCGTGGAATGCATTGCCAGAGAGGGTAGTGGAGTCGGCCTCATTAGGGGCATTTAAGCGACTATTAGATAGGCATATGGATGATAGTATAAGGTAGCGGTGGAGGTTAGATAGACCTTAGGTTTAGGGTAAAAGTTCGGCACAACATCGTGGGCTGAAGGGCCTGTACTGTTCTACGTTCTATGTTCTAGCCCATGTCACATCTCATTTAATGCTGTTGGGTGGATAACATCTGCTTTGGCTGTTTTGGTATGTTTATAAGATCACAGTTCTATTTAAAATAGTAGATATGGGATGTGGATTGCCTTGTCAACGCTTACAGACTTCACTTCAAATTCAAAATAGGAGAAGCCAACAAAAATCATGTGGAATCCAGAGCAAGGGGACATAATAATAAAATTAAAGGGGCTGTCAAGGATGCACTTCCACTGCACATAAAAATGGAGCTCCCTTTCTCCCAAAAGGTCAGGAATGCTGCAATAACTAGAGGCTTCAAGGTAAAGACTGATTTTTACTCATTTTAAGGATAGTGAATAAATGGAAGAAATGCACACAGAAGGTGTTGAGGTACAGAACAGCCGCAAACTAACAGATGGGTGAAGTAGGCTTATGGGAACATCCTACTTCTATCTTACTTGAAAACTATTTCTGACAACTCCTGCCTATGTAGCTGCAGTGTTTTATGACAAATGTGGCTGTCCTTGGAATATATTTTGAATTTAGGTCCTTGTTGAATGGGAAGAGGGAAAATGACAGCCTTAAATGAAGGTATGGGAATAGCCTGGCAAGTAAAGAATCTTTCATTCATTGGGATTTTTGACCTTTCAGCAGCTTTGTGATCCTATCAGTCACTACATGTAGGTGAGCTCCACTTAATTTGACTTAATGTATAAAATAGCCTCTCAAAGCGTTACTAGATTATTAGCTACGCTGACTGTGAACTAAATTCTTTCCTGTTCCTGAACTGGCATTGGCTTGGAGAGCTAAGCACTGGCAACTTAGTAGCTTGTCATTAAGTTGTTGGGAGGTTTTGTGAAAGTAGTGCTCATTGACTTGCAACATGCTTTCAAAAAACATGGAAAATTCAGGCTGATGATCTCAAAACCTGCAGAACCAATTGACCTCTTGGGGAAGAAGGAGTGCAAAGTGGACGAAGAAAATGATGTTTAAACAGGAGGTCTGCGTGCAATTTCTCATGTGCCATGAACAGTTTGTACCTTTTGTGGAGATGGGGATAAAGGTTGTAGTGGGGAGGATGAACTCAATGAGTTGAAACCCTAGAAAGACATTTCATTCTTTGACCTACCAAATGTATCCATACTGTTGTGGGAACGCACTGAATTGAACTTAAATATTTCGTTGGAAGGTGAATCATCAAACGGTGGTCTTGAATGAGCAGTGGCTGAGGCTGGTCATTAGTACTTCATAAACTGGACAAGATGAGAAACTATCTTAGATATGGTGCAGTACTGCTGCTGAGAGAACAACTGTGCAATTTGATCAAGCAATGAAACTGGAGACTCTCCAGATAGCAGTAAATGCTAATCTATTAAGATATTCTGCTTATGGAGACATAGGATTCAGTGTCTATATGTTTAATAATAGGACATGCCCCTGGACTGAATGCTGTTGGTTAGCTCATTCTCCACTGGACAGGAGAAAGGTAAGTTATCACTGCCACACTTCAGTCAGTAAATATTCAGATACCTGACCTATGTACCAGCATCAACTATTCAGTGAACCCATGGTTGCCCTTTGCTGTTATTGTTTGCAGTGTTGATGGACAGAGCTTGACTTCTGTTCTTTTCTCTGTTCTACTGTTGCAGATGGGTCCCAACGTTTGAAACAGTTGTTGAGTTTTGCTATTGGTGGGCTGCTCGGGGATGTCTTTCTGCACCTATTGCCTGAGGCTTGGGCCTACACGTGCAACAGTAATCCAGGTAAAGCATAAATTGAGATGGGCCTCAAAACATTTTTATGCGGTATCCCGCAAAGCAGTTACAGTACAGCTCAAATTGGTGGCATACATAATGATGAGATACAAAATGGCTGCAGTTGTGAAAGTTGCTGCCTTATGTGAGCATAAAAAATTGAAAAGATAATCTCATTGTGTCCAATGGAAGAAACCTAGAGAGAAATGGTTGATGATTTTTCCAGGAAGATCTTTCTGCATGAGTTCCATATGTCACAGCACTATTTGGAAAAGGCAAAGGGGATAAACTCAGTACTATAATTAATGTCAGGGGGAAAGCATGTAGGATTTAATGGGCAATGGTGACATTAATATGGTTGGCTAGGTTAAATGCATTGATGTCTATTGGACTAACTAGAAGCAAACTTTGGTGATCCTGGTAATGGGGTGTGTCGGTGGCTCATTATTAGAGGTATTGCTCAATTTGATGGGATGTAAGAACAGAGATCTGGGCATTCACCCGCATAATTCTTAGTGAAAGACAAGCGGATAAGACTGTTCATATACAATAGAGCATTATGGAATTCTGAGCTTTAGGAATAGAGAATTATAAAAGCATGGAAGTTACGCTTAAACTCAGTAAATCATGGGGGCAGCATGGTGGCTAAGTGTTAGCACTGCTGCCTCACAGTGCCAGGGACCCAGGTTCAATTCCATCCTCGGGCGACTGTGCAAACTCCACACAGACATTCTCCATTTGTCTGCGTGGGTTTCCTCCAGGTGCTCTGGTTTCCACCCACAGTCCAAAGCTATGCAGGCCAGGTGGTTTGGCCATGCTAAATTGCCCATAGTGTCCAGGGATGTGCAGGCTAGGGTTTTGTGTCTGGGTGGGATTCTGTTTGGAGGGTTGGTATGGACTTGATGGGCTGAATGGCCTCCTTCCACACTAGGGATTTCTTTATTTTAAAAAATCACATTTTGGGCAGTGTACTTCAGGAAGGATATGGAGACATGGCAGTGGCATAGTGGTAATGTCACTGGACTAGTAATCCAGAGACCGAGGCTAATGTTCTGGGAGCATAAATTTAAATCCCGTTTCAAAAATTTGAATTGAATAAAAATCTGGAATTAATCAAAATAGTAACCATATGACCATTGCCAATTGTCATAAAACCTCATCGAGTTCACTAATGTCCTTCAGCGAAGGAAATCCGTTTTCAGCCTGGCCACAGCAATGTGGTTGACGCTGCCCTCTGAAATTACCTAACAAGTCAGTTTAAAGGGCATGTAGGATGGACGTACCGACATCCTATGAAAAAAAACTTTGTGTTTGGCTAGCATGCAGAGAAAATTGACCAGAGTAGCACGAGAAATGAGGGACTTGAGTTTGAGCTATTTTTGTTTTCCTTAGAGTAGTGAAGGTTAAAATAGATTCATTAGAAGTGCTCAAAATTATTAAAGGCTTTGATAAAGTGGGCAGGGAGAACTTATTTCTCCTACATTGATAATTGGACGTTACAATCCAATGATAGTTGGCAAAAGAGCTGGGAAAAGAATTGGTGCAGACATGATGAGCCAAATGCGACACTAGCTTTGTACTTTAAGATTCTTTGTAGTATGAATATTTTTACGTAGAAAGAGCAACTACAAAGTCATTAGTTGCCTTGAACCTAACCGGATTCATCATTTTACAAAAGGAAACCTGACATCTTAGATGTGGCTTGAGGCCCACAGCAATATGGTTAACCTGAACAATTCTGTGGCTCAGCAAGCCACCCAGATATATCATCATCTTCATCTAATAAGCAAGGGCAATCGCTGTGGCAGCAATACCCATATCATTAAATTGAATATTATCTTTCAAAAAAAAACTTGAGGTGGGCAAATCAATTCTGATTGTGAAGTAGATCAAATTGCTCAAAACCACAATTTTGAACCTGAAGAATTGGAAAGCACCTCATATTTCAGACTTGCAGTTGCTTGGCAGTAGTTCTTGTTTGGCCCATTTTGCCAGTCGTCCACTTCTAATCTGCTCTTCTGACCACTTTGTTTGTGCAGATGGAAGCCACAGTCGTAAACAGCAGAGGAAGTTGGGGTTGTGGGTTATTGTTGGATTGCTTGCATTCTTCATTTTGGAAAAATTATTCCCAGATAAAGATGAGGATAAAGAATATCACAAAGTAAGTTACTTTAGTAGCATGCAAATTAGAAGTACAAAGTAACTATTTACAAAAATGATACAATAACGTAAAACCACCAAGCCACTTCCTTCCACAGCCTACCATGGACACCATTGATTAGCCTCCCTTTGTATCTGATACACATGTACCCCAAAGGCTGTACCCCATTCATTTCACTCCATTGCATGGTACCTATGAAGGCTATGATTTGTACAGTGAATACAGGAAGCAGTGTGTATTGGTTAGTGATGCAGAAATACAGGCAGTAGTTTGAGGGCGATCAAACAACCTTGGAGTCCACTTAGAGAGTCATGGAGTCATACAGAATGGAAACAGACTCTTCAGACCCACCAGTCCATGCCAAACATAATCCCAAACTAAAGTAGTCCCACCTGCCTGCTCCTGGCCCATATTGCTCAAAACCTTTCCTATTCATGTACTTATCCAAATGTCTTTTAAATATTGTAATTGTGCCCACATCTACCACTTCCTCAGGAAGTTCATTCCACATGCAAACCACCCTTTGCATAAAAAATTGGCCCCTCATGTCTTTTGTAAATCTCTCTCCTCTCATCTTAAAAATGTGTACTCCAGTCTTGAAATCCCCCAACACAGGGAAAAGACAACTACCATTAGCTCCATCTATACCTCTCCTTATTTTATCAACTTCTATCGGGTTGCCTCTCAACCTCCTGTGCTTCAGTGAACAAAGTCCCAGTCTATCCAAGCCTCCTTGATAACTCAAACCTTCCATACCTGGCAACATCCTGGTAAATCTCTTCTGAGCCTTCTCAGCTTAATAATATCTTTCCTACAACTGAGCAACCAGAACTGGACACAGTATTCCAGAAGAGGCCTCGCCAATGTCCTCTGCAACCTCAACATGATTTTCCAACTCCTGTACTTAAAGGACTGATCAATGAAGGCAAGCATGCCAAACACTGTTTTAACCACCCTGTCTATAAGTGACGTAAACTTCAAAGAATTACATACCTGCAACCCTACGTCCCTCTATTCTACAACACTACCCAAGGCCCTACCATTAATTGTATAAGCCCTACCCTCATTTGTTGTACTAAAATGCAGTACCTTACATTTATCCAGCTTGAATTCCATTTTTCCAACCAAATCAGCACGCTTCTGTCATGTTATTTTTCCTTTGTGTTGTATTTCCAGTGAATTGTCCTAATGAATGCAAGATAAAAATTTTGACACAAGTTTCATTTTTCAGCAATAAAAGGTGCTTTAAAATGAAAACATCCAGTTTACCCACCAAATCTCAGCTACTGACGATTGTGAGAATTCCACTAAATTATAGACTTGCTCGTTATAACAGCCAACATTGTAAAACTGCTCTGGACCCATCCTAAAATGGTACCTCACCATGATAAATAATTAGTTATACCCAAGTTAAAGATTCACAGGCAGGTTAAGGAACTTCACTTTCACTAATCAATCATTTTAGAAAGCTGTCACTTCCTTGCCTTTCCAATTGTACGAGAGCAAAATGGATATGCCTTTCTCTTGGAGGCAGTGAGTCCTGCGCTGATGCAGTGCTACAAGAGCTGGTAATCTGCACTATCTTATTCCAGTGACGACTTGATACAAAGCATGTTGATTTTTTTCACTGCTCTTTAAATTTACAGTACAGTGGGAATGTATTCGGCATTATGTCTGGTTCAACACTTTGCCGGAGACAGACCAAAATTAATTCTACTGCCCTAATTTCTCCTGTTGTCTTGTTCCTTCTGCATAGTCAAATATTAATGCAGTTTTCCTTTTCATAGTGTTCAGGATATTCCATTGGTGAAATATTCAATATTGTAACATTACTTGTTTGCCCAGCACCATGTTCACACACACACACACACACACACACACACACACACACACACACACACACACACACACACACACACCTTACGTGCAGAATATGGAGTCCACAGTGTGCTGTAAGTTGAGCTGTCCAGAGCTGTTTTAATGACTTCTCTCAGTATCAGGATGTGTGTGTTTTGGTGTGTGAACCGAAAGCTTTTCAGGAATGATCAGTAGACGGGAACCTGACTGGCTTTGTTCGTAGATTTTAGTTTACATTGTTACTCTGCAAGGTCAGCAGATGCTGGATGTGGAACCTGGCATCTTGTAGATCTGAGATTCTGATGCTATCAATTTGTTTTAATATGGTACTTTCAACAACACAAATGGAGCATGATGAGTTGAATATTTCCACAAGTAGCTCAATTGGGTCATTTTGGAATATTCCACGTTGGTGCTTGGTTCTTCTCCATATTTCTTTTGATACATTTCCATTTTGTTGCAGTTGATTGCCTACTGATTTATTTGGTCTTATCAGTGTTGTTGGACTGAGCTGCTAAACTGGCAGCTCTTGCTGGTGACATTGTTTATTTTGAGGTATTTGTAATCTGAGATATGAGCCAAATACAAGCAGCTGTTGAAATGTTACAGAGCAAATAATAATGTCTCTTGTTTTCACTGAAGTGAGATTCTCCTGTAATTGCAGTGACATCTTTAACAAGCCATCCTTCAAAACCCAAGAGGAAGCAACAGAAATACAATCAAACATTAAAATTTCAAGATATGTTCTACATCCCATCTATTTGTAATATTTACATGAATTTGAAATACATTGCTTCCAAACCTAGTGATAGGTTCCACTCTCTTTAGTACGTGTTTATTTCTCCTCATGAGTGCATTGTTGATACATTGTAATCTGTGCTTTAATATTTCACAAAAGAAACCTGCCTTAACTGTGTGAATAGTTTGAATAAAGACCAGCGAGTTGTTACAGGCAGACAAGGTGGCTGCCTTGAATAAGTGAAGTATTCTGTTTGAATAAGTGAAGTATTCTGTTTATTTGTGTTTACAACTCAAGCAACCACACTGAAATAATTAGATGTGACCAGATAAACTGTGTGTGGGATCTTTTCAATGGAAATTGACCGTTTCCTGCATTAAAACAGTAACTATTCTTCACAAGTACTTGCGCTCTGGCATGTCCTAAGGCTAGATAAATACGATTTTTCCTTTTGTCTTTTGAAAACATTGTTCCCACTTACTGCAGCAAATGGGCTTCTAATTCTCTTTACACCTGAAATTTTGTCATTCTCCTCCTTTCAGGAACCTTTTGACAACAAGAATGGACGTGTCTGTGTAGATAAGGCAGTCAAACACCATAAAAATGGAAAACTCATTCCTTCTGCCAGCACTCATCGTAATGGTTCTTGTGTCCAGCTTAATGGCCACTGCCATAGCTCCTCTCTGCAGTTCAAGGTTTCAACTCGGCCTGTTCAAGTCATTAAGGTAAGGGGTCACTGTTGTTTGTCACCTTCGATCCTTCTTTGAATCTGCTTTTAATTTTGAAAATTTGACCTTGATCATTGTTTTATAGATTAGTGGGTACCTGAACCTCATTGCCAATGGTATTGATAATTTCACACATGGCCTGGCAGTGGCTGGAAGCTTCCTTGTCAGCAGAAAGGTAAGGAATACAGAAGGAAATAATTTGCAAAGCAAGTGGTGAAATGCAAAATCTTAATATCAATAACAAAGTTGTGTTTGTATGGTGTCTTTAATGTAGTGCCATGTCCCAAGGTATTCACAAGGGTGTATCAAACAGAAAAGTGGTGATGAGCCAAGTAAATTGTTGGTCAGAGATTTTAAGTTGTGTTTTAGAAAAGGAAAGATATGTAGCAGAATTTAGGGAGGGAATTCTCTAGTGTAGGCTCTTCACAGATGAAGGTGCAGTTGCTAGTTGTCATTGCCAATTAACGTTGAGGATGTTAAAGGTCAAGAGTGCCAATATCTGAGGGTCATGTGGCTGGACAAGACTTCAGACATAAAGTTGGGCAACGTGGGGAGCAATTGCTATCAACTGCTTTACAAACACACAGGAGAAGTTTACATTCAAAGCGTTATTTAACCCTGAGCCAATGTAGGTCAACGACCACACGGGCAGTGAGTGAATTGGACAATTGATTTCTGCTTGTTAATGCTTCCACAGTCAGAGTTCTGGCAGTGAATCAATATACTTGGTGTGTGGCCGCACAATTTTAGGAATTGCCTGACTAGCCCATGGGCTGCTGAGTACACATTACCCTGAAGTTAATTATTAAAATTGATCTGGTTTTAAAAAAATAAATCAACAGGCTGCGCTTCATCTCTTTAGAAATTCTTGTTCAGTGGGAGAAAAGTCGTAAATGTTTCAAATTCCTTTCAAAGGCAGTGGTGATTATATATGGGCATAAGTGAGATAGAATGGTATATCCAGCTGTGGGTTAGAGACAAATCTAATTAAGGTGCTTGTCTGGTTTTATACTGAATGGTAGATATTTGAGACTGACGTTAGTTTATGGGCTAGAATTTTAATAAGTGAAACAGTGCTTTTTCTTCATGATCATTGCGAGGTGTGCATCGGTTTGTAAGCTGTAAATATCACGGATAATGTTCATTTGTAACCCTGTCTGTAAAACTCACTGTGATTCAACTCCCAGTGTGACAGTACGAATTATGCAGCCAGTTTTACCTGGATATGTGCGATATGGAAAGAAGATTGGCTGGTTAACAGGAGCATAGAATAGGTGCATAAATGAAACTTTATTCAGGTTGGTAAGATGTAACAAGTGGTGTACCACAGGGTCCTCAACTGTTCAAAACTTTTATAAATTACTTGGGTAATGGGACTGAAGATAAGTTGCTAAATTTGCTGATGCCATAAAGATGAGAAGGGATAGATAAGTTGTGATGAGGATATAAGGACTCTGCAGATGGATAGTGATAGATTAAGTGAATGGGCAGAGATGTGGCAAATGGAGCGTAATGTGGGAAAATGTGAAATTTTCTTTGGTAAGAATTAGAGAGTATTATCTAAATGGTAAGAGGATGCAGAGAGATCAGAGTGTCCTCGTGCGTGAATGACAAAGATTGAAAGAAGTTACAAAAATTAATTAGGGAGAGTGGAAAAAGAGGTGGGGGAGTGGCATTGCTAGTCAGGGCTAGTATAGCAGCTACTGAAAGGCAGTTCAAGAATGATATGTCTACTGAGTCTGTTTGGGTTGAGATCCGGAACAAGAAAGGAGCAGTCACTTTGTTGGGGGTTTTGTACAGACCCCCTAATAGTTGCAGAGAAGTGGAGGAGCGGATTGGGAGGCAGATACTGGAAAGGTGCAGAAGTCACAGGGTTGTAGTCATGGGTGACTTCAACTTTCCAAATATTGATTGGAAACATTTTAGTTCTAATAGTTTAGATGGAGCGGATTTTGTCCAGTGCGTTCAGGAAGGATTCCTGACACAGTATGTAGATAGACCAACACGAGGAGAGGCCACTTTGGATTTGGTGCTTGGCAATGAACCGGGCCAAGTGTTAGACCTGTTGGTAGGAGAGCACTTTGGCGGTAGCGATCATAACTCTGTTACTTTTACAATAGTCATGGAAAAGGATAGGTACATACAGCAGGGTAAGGTTTATAATTGGGGGAAGGGTAATTACAATTCTGTTAGGCGAGAACTGGGTAACATAAAATGGGAACAGATGCTGTCAGGGAAGAGCACTATTGAAATGTGGAGATTGTTTAAGGAATGCATACTGCGTGTGCTCGATATGTTTGTCCCTAGCAGGCGGGGAAGATGCAGTCGAGTGAGGGAGCCTTGGTTCTCAAGAGAGGTTGGACGACTGGTTAAGAGGAAGAAGGATGCTTATGTAAGGTTTAGGAAACAAGGAACGGAAAAGGCTCTAGAGGGATACAAGTTATCCAGGAAGGAGCTGAAGAAAGAGCTTAGAATAGCTATAAGGGAGCATGAGAAAACCTTGGCAGATAGGATCAAGGAAAACTCCAAGGCTTTTTACACGTACGTGAGGAATAAGAGAATGACCAGAGAACGGGTAGGGCCGATCAAGGATTGGAAAGGGAATTTGTGCACGGAGCCTAAAGAGATAGGAGAGGCCCTTAATGAAAACTTTTCTTCGGTATTCACAACTGAGAGGGACCTAGTTGTAGAGGTGTCAGTGTGAAACAGGCTGATCGGCGAGAGAAGGTCGATGTTAGTAAGGAAGATGTGCTAGGAAGTTTGCGGAAGTTGAAGATAGATAAGTTCCCCGGGCCTGATGGGATTTATCCAAGGATTCTATGGGAAGCGAGGGAAGAGATCGCAGGGCCTTTGGCGATGATCTTTTCATCCTCACTGTCCACGGGTATAGTGCCGGACGATTGGAGAGAGGCAAACGTCATTCCCTTGTTCAAAAAAGGGAATAGGGATAACCCCGGAAATTACAGGCTAGTTAGTCTTACATCAGTGGTGGGCAAATTATTGGAAAGGGCACTGAGAGATAGGATTTATGATCACTTGGAAAGGCGCAGTTTGATTTGTGATAGTCAGCATGGATTTGTGAGGGTTAGATCATGCCTCACAAACCTTATTGAACTCTTTGAAGAGGTGACCACACACGTGGATGAAGGTAGAGCAGTGGATATGGTATACATGGATTCAAGTAAGGTGTTTGAAAAGGTTCCCCACGGTAGACTCATGCAGGAGGCATGGGATAGGGGGAAATGTGGCAGATTGGATTCCGAATTGGCTGACCCTTAGAAGACAAAGGGTGGTAGTGGACGGAAACTATTCAACATGGTGCTCAGTTACGAGTGATGTACCACAAGGATCTATCCTGGGTCCTCTTCTATTTGTGATTTTTATAAATGATTTGGATGTAGGAGTGGAAAGGTGGATTAGCAAGTTCGCGGACGATATGAAGGTGGGTCACTTTGTGGACAGTGCGGAGGGCTGTTCTAGGTTACAAAGGGACATTGATAGAATGCAGAGCTGGGCTGAGAAGTGGCAGATGAAGTTTAACCCTGAAAAGTATGAGGTGATTCATTTTGGAAGGACAAACTTGAAAGCAGAATACAGGGTTAACGGAAAGATTCTTGGCAGTGTGGAGGAGCAGAGGGATCTTAGGGTTCATGTTCACAGTTCCCTGAAAGCTGTCACCCAGGTGGATAGAGTTGTTAAGAAGGCGTATGGTGTGTTAGCTTTCATTAATAGAGGGACCGAGTTCAAGAGCCATGAAGTTATGCTCCAGCTATACAAAAGCCTGGTTTGGCCACATCTGGAGTATTGTGTCCAGTTCTGGTCACCTCATTACAGGAAAGATGTGGAAGCGTTAGAAAAGGTGCAGAGGAGATATACCAGGATGTTGCCTAGAATGGAGGGAAGGTCTTACAAGGAAAGGTTGAGAGAGCTAGGGCTTTTCTCTTTAGAACGACAAAGGATGAGAGGTGACTTGATAGAGGTGTACAAAATGATCAGAGGTATAGATAGAGTTGACAGCCAAAGACTTTTTTTCCTAGGGTGGAGGTAGCTAATATGAGGGGACATAGTTTTAAAGTGAGTGGAGGTAGATATCGAGGAGAACATCAGAGGTAGGTTCTTTACTCAGAGAGTGATAGGGGCGTGGAATGCATTGCCGGAGAGGGTAGTGGAGTCGGCCTCATTAGGGGCATTTAAGCGGCTATTAGATAGGCATATAGATGATAGTATAAGGTAGCGGTGGAGGTTAGATAGACCTTAGGTTTAGGGTAAAAGTTCGGCACAACATCGTGGGCCGAAGGGCCTGTACTGTGCTGTACTGTTTATGTCCTATGTTCTAAAGCTAATTGGATGTTATTATTTAGTACAAGAGGAATTGAAAGAAAGGCAAAAGAAAGTTTATGCTTTAATTGTACAGGGCAATTTTTGAGGCAACACCTGGAGTACTATGTACAGTATTGGTCACTTTATTTAATGAAGTAAATGTATTAGAAGCAGTTCAGAGAAAGTTTACAACATTAATCTCTGGAATGAAACAGTTGTTTTATGTGGAAAGGTTGGATGAGCTCAGCTTGTATCTTCTGAAATGAAGAAGAAAAGGTGACTTGATTAAAACATATAAGCTCCTGAGAGTCCTTCACAGGGTGGATGTGGAGAGAATATGTCCTGTTATGGGAGAATCTTGAAGTAGGGATCACTCTTCAAAAATGAGGGGTCACGCATTTAAAACAGAGATGGTGCAATTTGTTTTGCCTGGGGTTTGAGAGTCTAAGGAACTATCTTCCAAATAGGTGTTGGAAACAGAGATCTTGAATATTTTTAAGGCAGGGTTGGATAGATTTTTGTTAAGCAGCAAGGTGAAAGGTTATTGGATAGGCAGGAATATAGATTTGAAGTTGCAATCAGATTAGCCATGATCTTGTTGAATGGTGGGACAGGCTTGAGGGGCTGAGTGGCCTCCTCATGCTACATGTTGAAATGTTTGTATGTAGCAGTTGTGTCCCACAAAATGTGAAGCTTTCAAGGCCAGTCTCAGTTTGCTGTGGAATGATGGAGAAAAAATGCTGTATTCAAGGTGGGTTATCTGCAAACAACACAGGCTTCTTCTCTTCATTTCAGAATTTGTGCTCCAGATATAGACAGGCCACTTGTGTTTGTACTGCACTTGTCTTCATGATCCATCCTCTTCAGCAGTCAAAGCAGAAATACTTGCTGCAAAGACTGATCAGTAACTGCTTGCCTTTAGGAATTTAATCTTCAAGGATGAGATTGTCCCATGTCCTGTTGTATTCAACAAAGTGTGAGAAATATTACAGGTCTGGCAGCGCCTGCAGAGAAAGAAACCGTTCATATTGCATGATTGATGACCTGCCATCAGTTCTTGGAAAAAGTTGGAGATGTAACATGTTTGAAATGAAAATGGACACAGCTCTCGATCTTGGCGGAGGCACAGGAGTAAATGTTGGAGAAGAGGTGTGGAGATAGGCAAGATTAAATGACAAAAGGGGTGATGGTGAAAAGTAAAAGTGGATGCCAACGGGACAAAAAAGGACAGTGGGTCCAGGGGAGATGGAAGATGGGGAAAAAAAATCCTCGCCAATAGCTGCTGTGCACAAATATTGTTTATGATATGAAGTTGCTGTATGAAATTGAAAGATGATGTGCTGTTCTTGAGTTCCATTGGAACAGTATACTAGGCTGAGGACTGAGAGCAACGTGGGAAAATTGCAATTTTGTGCTCTGTGTTTGATCTATTAAGTAACTAATTCTGTTGGGAGTTTTTTGAGCTCCTTGAAGGTTACTATTTTTGGGTATAAGAACAGGTTTTTTTTTTCTATAAATCATTGTAGTTTGATTTCATGATTTCTTTGTCATGGTTCTGTTCAGCTATGTCTACAGTGAGCTGGAGTTAACTCCTAAGCGATGTGAGAATACTGGAGATACAGTATGTACAGGTGCATTACCTGGTACTGGTCTTTGACCTAGTAGACTACTGGAGGAAGATCAGGGCTGTTGTTGAGATAGTTAACGTGTAACCATCCTTCCATCTAGGTTGGAATCACAACAACACTGGCTATTCTCCTCCATGAAGTTCCACATGAGGTGAGTGAGCTGAAACTTATGTGAATAATTGATCTTCTTAGAACATTTTAAAATGTACATTTCCCTAATGTGGGAACCTTCTGCTTCCCCACTCTGTTCATTATTCCAGGTCTTTGGATGGGTAGATAGTGAGGAGTGTGGTCATCCATATAGCACAAAGTAAAACAAGCATGATCTATAGTCACATCCATACAATCGTTACAGTGCAAATAGAGCCCACTCAGCCCCTTGTCCCTTGTGCTGGCTCTGTGCAACAGGAACTCAGCTAACCCCACTCACCCATATTTTCCTCTTAATCTGCACTTTTTTTCATGGCGCTAATCCAATTCTCTTTTGAAAGTGATGAAGTCTGCCTTTATCACACTTTCAGATCTTAACCACTTGCTACATTAAAAATGTTTTTTTCCCTCAGGTCATTGCGTCTTCTCTTTTCAATCACCTTGATTGCTTGATTTGCTTTCCTCTCTCTGGCTTGTAGCATCAAGAAGTTGGCTCCAAAACAATTGGCCCATTCATCCAAGTCATTGACATAGATTGTAAATAGTTGGGGCCTCAGCACAGATCACTATAGCTTCCCACTCAATACAATTAGTAAACCTGAAAATGATCTATTTATCCACACACGCTTCTTGCCAATTTATCATCTCCAATACTATGATCTCATGTGCAGCAACCTTTTATGGCACCTTATCAAATGCTTTTTGGAAATCCAAACCCTTTCATCTACTCTGCTTACGTCCTCAAAAAATTCTAATAAGTTGTGCCCTTTAACAAATTCATGTTGACTCTGCCTGTTTGTGTTATGATTTTGTAAATGTTGTGCTACTATTTCCTTAAATAAATCTTGCATTTACCCAATACGAATACAAGAACTAGGAGCAGGAGTGGGCAATTCAGCCCCTCGAGCCACTCTGCCATTTGATATGATCATAGCTGAACTCATCTTGGCCTTAACTCCACTTTCCTGCCCACTCTCCATAATCTTTCAACTCATTACTAATGAAAAATCTGTCTATCTCCTCAAATGTATTCAGTGTTGCAGCTTCCACTGCATACTGGTGTAATAAATTCCACAGATTCACAACCCTTTCAGCGAATTTCTTCTCATCTCTGTATGAAATTTGCTACTCCTTAACTTAAAACTATGACCTCTCAATCTAAATTGACTCATAAGGAGAAGCATCCACTCTACATGTGCTTTGTTAATCCCCTTTCACATCCTGTATATCTCTAAGTCTGCTCTCGTACTTCTAATCTCTAGCAAACTGTTTATAAAACAAGCCTAGCATCTCTGGAACTAATATAGTGAACCTTCTCTGAACTGCCTCCAATCCAATTATATCCTTCCTCAAGTGAGGCACCAAAACTGTACATGATACTCTTCGTGTGGTCTCACCAATGCCTTGTACAGTTGCAACACTGCACTGCTTTTACACTCCAATTTTTAGCAATAAATGTCACAATTCCATTTGCCCTTCTTATTGCCTGTTGTACCTACATACTAGTTTTAAGTTCCCATCTCAAGTATATTCCAGCAATCTAAAACCCTCCCTACTGCTCCATCTCTCAAAGCACACAGTCATCTTCTCTATCCTTCTATTTTTAGACTCAAAAGTATGTGACATTTGGAGTAATCTGGACATTAAAAAGTTTGAGACCCTGCTTACCAGCCTGTTCCCTAGTTTGCTAAAATCTGCTTGCAGAAGCTTTATACCTCCTTTTTTTTTCCCCCAATATGGACTATGACCTCCGGCTTGTTTACACCCCTCTCCAAGTGTTCTGGAGTAGTTCAGTGACATCCTTGACCCTGGTACTCGCAAGGTAATATACCGGACGCAAAAACAAAAGCAGAAATTGGTGGAAAAACTCAGCAAGTCTGGCAGCATCTATAGAGAGAAATCAGAGTTAATGTTTCTGATCCAGTGACTCCTCTTCAGAACTAGCTTCAGAACCACCAGAAGTGGTAGCTAGGTAAAGGTTGACATTTACGCAGAACATAGGAGGGGGGAGAGAGTAAACGAAAATTGGAAATAGAGCCCAAAGAGACAGAAACACGGTTGGACAGAGTAAAGACTCGGTAAAGGTCGGTTTGGAGAATGAATAGCTGCTAATGGGGGCTATTAATAGCTGACAATGAGTTGTGTGTGATAGCAGTCCATGTGATGTCCAAGCCTGGTGTGTGGGAGTGGGATAAGGACATGGCCTTAAGCCCCAAAATTGTTGAACTCAATATTGAGTCCAGAAGGCTGTAGAGTTCCCACGCAGAAAATGAGTTGCTGTTCTTCCAAGTTGCAATGAGTTTCACTGGAGCACTACAAGCCTGAGATAGAAGTGTTGGCCAGGGAAAATGGTGGTGTGTTGAAGTGGCAGGCAACTAGAAGTTCAAGGTTTTTTTTTATTTAGACAAAACGTAGGTCATCCAGTCTATGCATCATTTCCCTACGTAAAGGCGAACACTTTGTGAGCAGCAAATGCAATAGACTAGATTGAGTGAAGTGCAGGTAAACTCCACTTAGAAGGTGTGTTTGGGCTTTGGATGGTGAGGATGGAGGAAGTAAATGGGCTGCTGTTAGACCTTCTGCAGTTGCAGGGGAAGGTGCTGCTGGGTGTGGCAATATTAGGAGTGAAGGAGGAATGGACCAGGGTATCTTGGAGGGAATGGTTCCTGTGGAAGGCTGACAAGGGAGGGGAGGAGAATATGTGTCTGTAGTGGCATCTCATTGGAGATGGTGAAAATGGCAGCTAATGCTTCTATGGTTGTGAATACTAGTGGGATGGTGGCTGAGGGCATGGGGGACCCTATCACTGTTGTGGGAGGGAACAGAGGGGTTGAAGGCCAAAGTGCAGGAGATGGGTCGGATCTCATTTTCCGCATGGGAACTCTGCAGCCTTCAGGACTTCATATTGAGTTAAACAATTTTAGGGCTTGAGGTCATGTCCTTATCCCACCCCCACACACCAGGCCTTGACATCACATGAGCTGCCATCACTCTCAACCCATTGTCAGCTACTAATAGCCCCCATTAGCAGCTATTCATTCCCCCAGACTGACCTTTAACTATCCCTTTGTCTGTCCAACTCTTTTCCCCTCTCTTTGGGCTCTATCTCCACCTATTGTTTACTGAACCCCTCCCCTCACCCTAACTTCTGCAGAAATATCAACCTTTCCAATTCCCTAGCTACCATCAATTCTAAAGAAGGGTCACTCGACCCGAATCGTTAACTCTGATTTCTTTCCACAGGTGCTGCCAGGTCTGCTGAGTTTTTCCAGCAATTTCTGTTTCTGTTTCAGTTTTTATTTCTGATGCCCAGTTTTTCCAGTTTCTTGTAAGGTAATATACTATCCTGAATTCTGTTCTGAGCCCTTTCTATTATATTGATTTGCTAATCTTTAGCCTGCAAACCTACCAACCAAAAGTTGAACCGTCCATGGTCCCATGGATTTGGCTCAATCTGCATTCACCAGATCGTTCTGCAGTATTCTGGATTGAATACTGGTTGGTGTGTGAGATGCACTCAAGGAAATCCTGCGCTACCTGCCTGCTCTTCTTATTTCCTCTCTGAAGCGCACATTTAAAGTACAGGCTGATCACATTCAGAAACGTGCCACCTACCACGCTCTCAGCCTCACAGATGCACCACACAGTGACACCAGCTACTGCTCAAGCTCACAGCTGGAGCTCGAGACACTGTACCTGCCAATACCTCTGTAAGAGTAATTGTCCAGTACATGGGTAACATCCTGGAGTGGAACACTGTGTGCCCTCCAGAGGACTGAAATGTCTCTATTTGTTTAAATAGTACCTTCACTTGTGCTGACATCTGTCTTAGTTATTTTTTGCTAGCTGCCTGACACGCCATCTCCTGCTGGATGTCCCACACTCCTTTCAGGTCCACCAATGTTACTCATTAGTCTCTAGCACAATTTCCCTTCAGGCTTGTTTTCATAATCAAATCTTTCAGACAATGTTCCAGACTCCTCCATCACTCTGCGAATGTCCTGTCCTATCAAGAGATTACACTCACCGCAGGTGGTGGTGCAATGACATACAGTGAGGAGCGAGTTGTCCTGGGAGTCCTCAACATAGACTCCTGAACCCATGATATTTTATGGCATTTAATCAAACATGGGGAAGGAAACCTTTTGGCAGCTACCACCTATTCCGCAGATGTGTCAGTGCTGCTCTATTGAACAGCACTTGATAGGAGGGGTTCAAAATATTCTTTGATGTCCCCAACCCAATGTCTTTCAATAAGTGGCTCAGTATCACCATATGTGATTGGTCTGGCTGTGACTTGAAGGACATATTTGCCAAAATAGCTCTATGCCAGGTGGTGAGAGAACCAAGCCAAGAGAAACACCTATTTGATTGTATCCGCATCGATCTACATGCTGGGGAAGTGTTTGTGGTTTTGTATTGTTACTGGACTAAGAATCTGGAGGGGGTACTGGTTCAAATCCCACCACATCTGGTGAACTTGGCAAAGTACTCCCCATCAGTCTACTCTTAGTCTACAGCATGAAAATAGAAGGTGTACTCAACAGTGCTATCAAGCAGCACCTGCACACAGATGCCTAGTTTGGATTCCACTAGGGCCACTCAGTTCCTGACCTCATTATTGCCTTGGTTCCGACATGGGCAAAAAATGCTGAATTCCAGAGAGAAGGTGAGAGTGACTGCCTTTAACATCAAGACCACATTTGACCGAGTGTGGCATCATGGAGCTGTAGCAAAACTGGAGTCAATGGGAATCAGGGGGCAAACTCTCCACTGGTTGGAATCATAACTGACACATAGGAAAATGGTTGTGGTTGTGGACGTCAGTAATCTCAGCTGCAGGACGTCTCTGTAGGAGTTCCCCAGGGTAGCATCCTTGGCTCAACCATCTTCATCTGCTTCATCAGTGGCTTTTCCTCCATTGTAAGTTCAGAAGTGGGGATGTTCACTGATGATTACACAACATCCAGTCCCATTCGCAGCTCCTCAGTCTCTCTAGCAGTCCATGTTAAAATATAGTAATACCTGCACAACATGGGCTGACAATTGGCAAGTAAGCTTTTCATTGCCAGACCTGCTGAGTTTATCCAAGCTATTTCTGTTTTGTTTCAGATTTTCAGCATCTGCAGTTTTTTGTTTTTTTGTTTAGATAAAGGGAAAAATGGAGGATTTTCAGAATGCATTTAACATGGTACCATACAATAAGCTACTTAGTAAACTCATGGTTAAAGGTAGTATGTGAGCATGGATAGAGGAATGGCGAACAAATAGAAGACCAAGGGTTGGAATAACGGGGGCATTTTCAGGGTCGCAGCCTGTTTGTGGATAACACAAAAATAGGTGGAAGGCAAGTAGTGAGAATGAATAAGACAGTCTGCACAGAGATATACAGGTTAAGCAAGCAGTCAGAAACTTAGCAGATGGAATCTTATGTGGGAAAATGTGAGGTTATGCACTTTGGCAGGAAGAATAGAGGAGGTGAATATTATTTAAATTGAGAAAGACCGCAGAAAGTTACAGAAAGAATTGGGAATCCTTGTCCGTGAATCACCAAAATGTAGCATCCAAGTCCACCATGTAACAGGGAAGGCAAATGGAATATTGGCCTTTATTTCAAAAGGAGTGGAATATAGAAGTAAGGACGTTTTGCTATAAGGCACTAATCAGACCACAGCTGGAATCTATTGTACAATTTTGGACCCTTATCTAAGTACAGATGTATTGGCATTGGAGGCAGTCCAGAGAAGATTCACTTGGCCAATTAGAGGGACTGTCATATAAGGAGAGGTTAAGTAGGTTGGACCTGTACTCATTGGAATTTAGAAGAATGAGAGGTGACTTTATTGAAACATACAAGATTCTTTAGGGCAAAAACTGCAATTGCTAGAAAAGCTGAGCAGGTGTAGCAACATCTGTGGAGAGAAATCAGAGTTAACATTTTGGGTCGAGTGACCTTTCCTCAGAACTAAGGAGGTTCTGAGGAGGGGTCACCCGACCTGAAATGTTAACTCTGATTTCTCTCCACAGATGCTGCCAGACCTGCCGAGCCTTTCCAGCAATTTCTGTTTTTGTTTCTGATTTACAGCATCCACAGTTCTTTTCATTATTATTTAAGATACTTAGGGAATTAACAGGGTAGATACAGAAAGCTGGTTTCCCCTTTGTGGGAGAGTCTAGGACCAGAGGAATTAATCCTAGAATAAGAGGTTGCACGTTCAAGACAGAAAAGAGGAGGGATTTCTTCTCTCAGACAGTAGTGAATCTGTGGAATTCTTTCCCACAGAGGGCTGTGGAGGCCAAATCATTCAGTATATTTAAGACTGAGATAGACTGGTCCTTGATTGTCAAGGGGATCAAGGGTTACGGGGAGAAAGTGGGAGATTGGGGTTGAGAAACCGATCAGCCATGATTGAATACTGGAGCAGACTTGATGAGCCGAATGGCCTAATTTCTGTTCTTATTGTCTTATATAGCTAAGCAATCTTACAGCGAACAGAACTGCAATCCTGCCATATATGGTGTTGTAAATGGTAGTGAGCAATTAACCATTGAATGGGCGAAGGAGCTTTTTTTTAAAAGTATTCCCATCCTCCAATGATCAGGATGGCCAGCACATCAGTGCAAAGGTCAAAGCTGAAGCATTTTCAGCTACCTTCAGGCAGAAATGCTAAGTGTTGTTTGACATTGAGGTGCCACTGAAATCCTCACTATCAAAGATAGTAGGAACTGCAGATGCTGGAG